GTGTCGTAAATTTTTAACGTGTAGGAGTCGGCAGACGTCTTATTGATTCGGGGCCCTCATTGGCCTGCATGAACGTCCCGCCCTTTCGGAGCCAGCAGATGACCACGACCTTTCGCTCTCGTTGTGTTAGATGGGACGGCTCGTGACAGTAAAGCGAGCAGCGCACCCTGTGTCACGAGGAGTGAAATGGTACGATTGTTTCGTTGACGCGGCGAACAGCGACAGCCACCCAGGAGGAGTCTGTCAGAGTATTGCACAAGGGAAAGCAAAGGAATCGTTGCCTGAAAGGATGAGGACACCACGGCCTTACAATGTCGACGGTCAACAACTGTTGTGCCAGCCAAAACAACGCCGCGTGCGCGCTAAAACCGGCGGCGCGGGACAGAAATCCCGCAGACGCACACACGAAGATGGGCCGGTTTCTTTAGGGATGTGGGGAAATTTGAAACCAGCCATCCGTGCATGCGTGAAACGATACCGCCTGTTTGCCCTAGCTTCGAGCGCCCTATCCTTACCTTGAAACGGCCGTGCTCTCTCTCTCTCTCCGGGGAGATCCGATAGCACCGAAGGGTTATCTATTAAACTTGAGGAAGAAAACGAGAAGGGAGTGTTTAAGTTTAATTATCCCCACCAACCCGCTTGTTCTGTCCTTATAAAGGGTTATCTCTTTTGGAAACAGCAAAGCCCGGAGACTGATATTAAAACGAGCGTGTTGGTAAATATGCTTGTGTTTGTATTCTGCCCGGAGACTAGTTGGGTCGAAGTCAGCCTCCTTGTCAAGTATAACCGTTTGTGAAGAGTGGGCTTCTCCCGAGATGAAACGTTAGCGCCGGCTGACGTGTTCTTTTGAAAAAGGGAAGGGGAAAGAGAAAGTTTGAGTAACTGCAGAAACTACCTCGAAAGCTCCTCTCCCGATGTGAAGCTTGAAGCATAGTCTCGGTTACCTTCTCGCGCATCGCCTGCTGGAATCTATTCTTCACTTTCTTTCGTACAGCCACGTGCTGTTCCGCACAGCCGTCGTGGATGTGCGTAACAGAGGGAGGAACAGATTCGAGCATCATGTGGACGCCGTCATCCTGCCAGACTTCAATGTCGTGGGACCGACTCGTGTGTGTTTCTTCGCCCCGCTGAACTTTGTTTCTCGGGTGCGACTTTTTCTGAACGTTTTTTTTTTTTTTCAATGTTTTCTTACTAACTGTTTGTTAGCACTGTTCAGTTGTTGGGTTTATTTCATCGTGGCGGAGCGGCCTGGCGGTGATGTAGAGAGCGTGTTCGCACGCATTTGGTTGCGTCCCGTTTCGGGAATGCCCGGGGGAGTTGGTTTATGTTCTTGCTATGTGCGGCTGAGTTTTCCCGTCTTTATTAAATTATTGATTTTTTGTTTTGTTTTACCTTTACGTGCCGTCGACTTCTTTGTCTGACTCTCCACCAGGCGTGGACCTATCGCCTTACCACCGCTCGAACCTAAATACTTTATTTATTTTTTTAACGCAATTTTCGTTAAGATCGGAGTTGGGCAATTTAATTCCTATTTATTTATTTTTATTTCCTACCCCTCTATATGACACACTCTTTGTGTGTTTCGGACCGTTTCTGTGTCACCACTTTTGTGTATTACGGAAGTGAAAGGACATTCCCTGGTGACCTGTGCGATGTGCGGTGAACAAGCCCCAGTGTTTGGTTTCGTAAAGAATTGTATATAATATATCGACGATGTGGTGACTTTCTTTGTCTTAGTAATATGACAGCTAATAGCTAGTCGTGCTAGTTTACTTTGAAAGGTTTATAAATCGAAACAATACAACGTCTTTGCCTTTCTGTTATTGAAAGTCTACTAGGCCTGCTGATTTGGTTAGATATGTATCTCATGGTTCCCGCTCTTATCAAAACATACATAAATATTCAATATCACAAAATCCGTTTATAATTGATTACAAAATGCAGAAGAAAATTCAAGAAAACTTTTTCACAATTCATAGAGACGCATGGGTCGCTAAGTCTGACTTAGGTCTTGCATAACAAAGACGTCTTTTTCCGATATTGAGGCCTAAATATAAAACATGCAAACAAAATATACACTTTCTAGGCTTGATTTTCGTGTAGAGAACTATCATATCTACAGTTGAACAAAAAATAAAAAAAATAAAAAATGGGTTTTTTGAGAAAATCAATTTCAAAAATGGTACTTTTTGGTTTTTGCATAATATTAACGTAAACGTACCGCAAAGGATATTTTATACAGTCAAGGCATTTTATAATAAATAGAAAGAGCGTGTTTTGGGCTCTCCGTGGACATAAAAAATATCGGTGTAACCCAAGTAGATCGCCAGTAATTAATTGTCAAAGTTCGTCAACAATTGACCGAGGAGGCGTTTTTGACATTTTTACAGAAAAAAAGCAAAAAGCCTAAAATTATTTCATGGTATTGGAGCCTTTTAAATTTGTCCACAGAGTGCTTCAAAGAAGATAATATAATGTGGACTGAAAATCCATGGCGGGAGATCAAGCGAAACATCCGACCCACGACGGGTGTGAAAAACACTGCTTTTCGCCGCGGCCTCTTTAAAAATTCATAAGTCGAGAAGAAAAAATCCGACGAACTTGCGGTTTGTGTCGACTGCGGTTTTAGAAACGGCGGCATAACATATATTTTTTTCATCGAAATTAAAAATTCGACCCTTTTTGCCTGCACGATTTGAGATGAAACCACCCATATATATATATATATGTATATATAGACCACTCCACTCAGATACTGGTTCTGCATTTTCCTCCTCTTCCATGTCATCTTCCTCATGTGTACCCTTTTCCTTCTGTACCCTCCCCTTCTCTTCTCCCGTACCCTCCCCTCCTCTTCCTCCATACCCTCCCCTCCTCCTCCTCCATACCCTCCCCACCTCATTCGTACCCTTCTCCTTCTGTACCCTCCCCTCCTCTTCTTTCGTACCCTAACCTCCTCCATACACTCCCCTCCTTCTCCTTTGTGCCCTCTTCTCCTTCTCCTCTATACCCTCGCCTCCTCCTTCGTACGCTCCCCTCCTCTTCTTCCGTACCCCCCTCCTCCTCCATACCCTACCCTCCTCTTCCTCCCTACCCTCCTTTCCTTCTCCTCCATACCCTCCCCTCCTCATTCGTACCCTTCTCCTTCTCTACCCTCCCCTCCTCTTCTTCCGTACCCTCCTCTCCTCCTCCTTCGTACCCTCCCCTCCTCCTCTATACCCTCCCCCCTCCCACAGCTTCCCCGGTAAATTTAGCTGGAAAATTGACGCCACGTGACCTCAACACCAATTCAATTTCCCCGCTAAATTTAGAGCGGAAAATTACCTCAGATGACTTCATGTCACATCACCTATCAACAAATTCTGCTCCTCGGCTAGATTTAGCGGGAAAATTTACGCAACGTGACCTAAACACTAATTCAACTCCCCGCTAAATTTAGTGGAGAAACTGAATATGTGTGTAGGTCTGTGACGTTCCATAATGCAACACTGTGCATGCAGTTTCCCCGCTAATTATAGCGGTAAAACTGTCGTCACATGACCTCGACATCAATTCAATTTCTCCGCTATATTTATCGGGGAAATCGTGACGTCTCACAATGCAACGCGCGCGGTCACGCCGACGGCGACGCCGCACCGCTCAACGCGGAAACGGGCGCCTAAGATCTGCGCTCTAAGAAAAGACGTGATATAAAAGTAGCGAAATGGTTTTGTTGCCATTATTTGACTCTCGACTCGAATCCCTTTGTAAACATGACGTTCGCTCCCTTAATGTTTTTTTCGTTGTCGGATTAGCATGTCTACTATTTTTTACGGGCCATAGTCGGCACCCGGTGCATAGTCCGCATGCCGCGCATAGTCCGCACCTGGTGCTTTAGTAGACACAAAACTATTCTCATACACAGCACACCTTGTCAAATGCCTGATTTCTCAGCCCGCCAAGAAGCTCGTATTCTACATAAATCATCATTTCTCGTCATAACGAACGATCTTGAAAAACAAAATTCTTGTATAGTCCTAATGCATAGAGAGTCCGCAAAGCTTAAGTATTCAACTTTTAAACATAAGGAGTCCGCGAACTACAGCCCGGAAAATACTGTTCAATGTAACCATGACAACATTGGAGTCTTAAATTACCACCTGCAGTTAGGCACTTTCAGCTGATACAGAATATCAACAGTGAAATATTCATGACTGTTCCTCTGAGACGTAGTTTCGGCACAAATAAATGATGTGTACCAAAACGAGACGTTCTCTGGTTCTGTTTCTTTTTCCACTACTGTCAAAGTATTTTCCTCCTTCTACCCCAGTCTCGGATTACAATCATCATGATAAATTATGTGTTCGATTATAATCGACACTGATTTTTTTTTTCTCTTTGAAGGGGTGACGAGTGTAAGATTGTCACCCCTTTCGACAATTACAGCTTAAACACTTAATGATTTCTTTGAAAAGGTAATTAGCAGATTTTTTTTAATAAGCAATTGGATTTTCCAGGATCTTCCTTCATCTAATATCCGCCTAGCCAAATACACAAGCCGTACAAGCGCTGACCATAGAACGGCTGCAGCCTTTTTTAAATCAAAATAACCTACAAAAATTAAAAATTAAAATAAAAAAACATGATGCGCAAAAAGTTTTTACAAACTTTCTGTTCGGGTTTGCCCTGGTGAAGTGTTCAAATTTATCTATTGTTTGGGCGTTGAGTCACTGAAGAAACACGTATAAATATTATTTTGAGGGCTCAACTCAGAAACCAACAACACCTTCCTTGCAAGACATTGTTCGTTCCAGCAAAGGAAGCGCGGGAAGAGCCTCTCATTCACGCCGAAATCACCAACGATATTTAAGTTAAAGGTGCCTTTCGTCGAGGGATTGCAGACATCTTGGCTGGGATTCAAACTCGCCACCTGAGATTCCAGAAGCCGCCTGTTCTTCAAGCGAGTTCCATCCTTTTTTGATCATTTTACAGTTTATGCATCACAATAAAGGCACACTTACAGTGAGTCAGGTGGGTACAAGCGCAAAGTCTCGTTGATGACGGCTTCCAGATATGGCATGTCCTTGAGGGATTCGTAGGTGACGCCATTCTGGAGAAAGGGGGCGGTACATTCTTAAGCATATACGTATCATGTACGTAACGCACGTTCTATTTGATTGTAACCACGCAAAAATGATTCTCTATTCACACGCCCTCTACATTTTCGCAATCACGAGGTCACAAACAGAACAATCTTACTTCTCTTAAGGATTTCCTAATCAAGTGATCCAAGTGTACAAATAGCTTTGTTAAAGTTTGCTTGGATGAAGCAAGTGTAAGGGCATATTATAAACATTCACCAAGATAATATGCATTGCCACACACAGTGATTTGTTTCTGAGAAATGGGAGCTGTGTGAATACTTAAGTAACGGAGACTATTAGCTGGGATTTCACTCGAAAACAATTATTGCCTATGACATGTATGCAGGGTATGTCGAGGTAAAGAAAAGCAAATCCGAACTTCCGGGGGGAGTGTGTTGCTTCCGGTGGGCTATTGCTTTCGCTTGTTTTCGAGCACTCTCAGTAAGTAGCGCATACTTTGAAAGTCTCACCGCCGTCTAACTGCGGTATCCACTGAAATTTACTTATACGGGATAGACATCCTTCCTGTTCCCTTGGATGAAAAGAAAGAGCACTTGTTCCTCAAGGAAATGACAAATCTGCCGAAGGTATCGTTGGCGCATCTTAAGGCCGAGGTGCCTCGCAGGGGTCGCCGAGCCTAGCGCCACTGAATAAGCTACGCTTCAGAGTAACGACCCTTTGCCATATTGTGACTTAAAATCATGGTTGCCAATTATCCGAAGCTTTATCTGAAATCACAAGAAACGTTTTTCCGCCCTCTAGAAATGTTTCAACAGTTCGCGACAAACCAAATCAATATTGCATGAGCTTCCTAACACCGAATTTAATGCTGAGGAAGTCGCACCTTTGAATCATAACGATCAACAGTGGCGTCTGCTGTGCATACCAGCCAAAATGGCGGTGCCCACAACAATGTCGGGGAACGGAGTGCCGATCTCATTTAGTGGGTGTAGCCGAGCCGGGTCTTAGTTTTAGCGGACAATCTTCCAAGAGGTTTTATTAGGCTTCCTTTAGCTCGACGCGTGCTTCTCTAACTCGATTTTCTATTGTTTTGACTTGTTGCTTCAGTATTCAAGGTCTCTTTCCCAGAGCACCGTGCATATTGCATTTGTACGTGCCATAATGGCCCATCGTTGTGCGGAGAAGGTCGAAGGAGACGCCGCGGCGCCGGCGCCGCATTCTCGCGGCTGTCGTGTGGCGCCATCTGTCGGCAGCACATCGAAGTGGGCTAGCACCGTCTACCAATGCCATTGTCCTGCGATCACCCAGGCTCCGCGGCGTCGGTGGCGTCCCTGGTTTTGAGATAATCGAAGTAACTACACTTGCGACATTTTTGCTCGTACCGGTAAGCATCGGCAACGTAAACGCATGACACCGGGCATTTCTAGAGTGTAGCTCTCACGGGATTGCTTGCTAGCGAACCAAGAGCCGTCGCGTATCCACCCAAACATGAGGTTGGCATGGGAGAACCGGAAGTATTTCTCTCTCCCCTTCATGCCGGCCGGAAGTGGCGCCCACACCCTGTAGAGAAGTTAAATCTAGTACAAACATAGGCCATCTTTAATTCGTTGATTTTCAGCTATATATTATTCTCTCCCCAATCCTAATCTAAAACGTATCCAAAACGTAAAATATCAGATCCCACTTCCTCCCCTACTAAATGCATAACTAATTACCATTTTATGCGTGCTTTTGAAACATGCCATCAAGGCAACCGATGTATCTTCAAGGGGGACCTTATTCAACATTGAGTAAATGCGTTCTGCGCCAAATTCTGAACTATATAGTCACTGACATTGAAGAAACGCAGGCCGTGTTTTATTATGTTTCTGCTTGTTGCTTCGTGAATCGTTCTTGAGTTTTCTTATGTGCCGCAATATTTATGGCTTCCGAACAATATGGCTAGCCAGTATTCCAAAGTGCGTCTTTTGCGCATTAGAACGCGAAGAGGAGCACGCCCATCAAATGGCCCCGTAGAGAACACGTAGGTAACGCGCGATGGCGAAGGCAAGTGCGCTCCGTCGTCGGCTCTTCGATCACCTTTTCTTGACACTCCGTATGTAAGGCGAGGGAGTAGGCCGTCCAAGTCAACGTTAGCGTGACGGTGTCACTGCCGGCGATGAAGAAGAGCATGCATTGCGCTGCGATGTCTTCTATTTCTGATTCTAAAAGAACAATATAGGGAGAATAAGTTCACAGGCATTAGAAGCACTTGCTAACAGTATGTTAATTGTCTAAATTTGCATAATGAACGAGTGTTCTCTGGCACTCACCTGCTCTCGATGCTTTACAACTTGTGAAATTTGAAACAAGCGAAGTAAGATTCACGACAATGTAGGCGGCGCGAAACGTTGAGTGTCTGTGCAATATTAGGTTGCAGAAAGCAATTCTAATAAAACCATTATAATTTTCCAGCTTTTCTCATTTCCCTCTGCGAGACTAGTTCTGGAGTTTGGACGAACGTGAGGCATCGGAGAAGACCCTGACTTAGAAATTGTCGACCCGAAATAGAGATTTCCAAGCCGTTCGTGACTTCACCACTTTCGGAATGGTGGCGCATTGACATCATGAACTCGTAGGGCTACGGAAAACATTTGCTATACATTGTGGAGCACGTCCTGCATTAGGCTGTTTTATATCTTCCAAACAAATGCGCGACCCAGCTACTTCAAATGTGAAGGGCTACTGCTCAAACGTTTGGGGCGAGATTGAATCGCCCATAACATAACGCATATTTTCTCTCAAGTCGATCACCAAGAAATTGATACGTTTTTCATTTCTGCATCCTTTTTCTTTCTTCAGAATTGCATTTTAGTCGCATAAGGACCACGTCAATTTGTAACTACGCTGACAGAGCTTTTAAACTGCAATGGGATGCGTCGACCACCGAGGGAGCCGCAGCGCGGGCCTTCACTGAGAAGTGACGACGAACTGTGATATAATCCTCTTCTCTTAGGAGTCGTCAACCATTCAGTAGCTATGCAGTGCCGATTATCTGAGGCTGTCGTATTTTGGGCACGCGCGCTAAGCATTAATTATTGGACAGGAGTACTAAGTGGGCCTTCGGCGTGGACATGGGCTAAAATATATTGGACACGAACGCCGTGCCAGCTTCGGGAGTGGACCCCTCTATAGATGCGACACGCTTCGCGCAAGAGTCGATGCTTTTAAACACGGTGACCGACAAAGATAGCTTGATGTGGGTTTGTATATGGAGGGCACGTAGCAATATCAGACAAATCGGCACGGGGAAATAACCCTTCCTATGAGCTCGCCTAATACGCGGGGGCTTAAAGTATTAATTTCTAAAGTCCTTACGCGTATCTTGATAGTATCCGGTGTTTCGTCTGATTCAAATGTGAATGGTGACACCGGGAACGACCCTTCTGTCAAACTAGCATGGTTGGCTGTGCGCTTGCCTCGCACTTCCCTGCACGGGTTTAGTGCGGCCAGGAATACGTAATTCCGTAGCACATCTGTCATTTATTTCGTGCCTCCGGGTGAGGACACTGCCATCTGTCGTTTGTTGTTCCGTCGTTCCAGTTTACTTTGTCCAAGAGCGTATGCATTAAAGGCGCTTAAATAAGTCGAGATGAAACTGCATACCGGATAGTTTGAAGTTGTCGGGGCTTCGTCCGCTCATCACAGCATTGAGGCAGAGTTCAAGGACGTCCTCAAATCTCTGGAAAAACAATACCCAAGATTATTATTTTGCCGTCTACGCAAAATGTCAAATGGAACAAGATGTGTCGAGTTAGTATATTGGGGTCAATATACGCTATCTATAATGTTTGTTGTTAAAGGGACGATAACTTCCATTAATCGAATACTTCTCATTGAATATTTACGGTTGCTATATATAAAAAATGAAGTCCTAAACTTCTTTGGAACTCACCTAAAATTCCTGCTGTCTGATTAATTTGAAAATATTCGAGGATTTCGCTGCAACACTAGTCAAATTTTACCGCAGAATGCGAAGACATCGGTTACATGGTTGTACTCTAAGTGTTTAATATTTTTTTCTTCCTTTTTTAGTCGACAAAATGTGTGAGACTGATGTGATCCACATGAAGCATGTAACATGATTAAGCCGTTCATAATTGCTCAGAGCAGTCAACAGTGAACTCGGCCCCCCGTGATCTCTCTGACCATGGGCTTATGTTCAAGCAGAAGGATCTGGGCTTGTCAGCGGGTGACTGGTCTGGCGTCTGGCTCTCGCATTTGAACGCGTTCAACGTCCGCAGTGGGCACAAAGGCAGCAGCTTTAGGTCTACCCACTAATCGTTCCAATCAGGAATCGGCGTTCAGACGTTCCCGCTCGTCTCTTCCTCCTCTCCCTCATTTTCTACTCGGATAGTCGCCACCAGCTTTATTACTTATAGCCCAGGGTGTGGTCCGAGCACGCGGGTCCCGAAATTTTTTAATCGATCATCAGCCAGCTAGATTGCCGAATCAGCCGTTGAAAATGACAAAAAGAACAAATCACAAATCTAGAAATGCGAACACAATATGCCACATTGCGCGTTTCTAAAACTGTCAGCGGCAATAAGAAGACAAGGTGCCGACATTCCGAGGGATATTTAGCTTTCCTTTAGTGTTTGTTCATTAAAGCCTCGCCAGCAATCTAACTGGATCCCCTGGCGCCACCATCACCTGTTTCTATTTCCCGCCGTTCCGAGGTGGCTGAAATGCGTCACAATAACAGTGCGGGCCTTTCCCTGCGGACTTATTATATGAACTCTACAGATAACTGATGCACAAAACACGTTAATTAACGTTACCTCTTTCGAACCGCAGCGCTGATGCGCCATATGTTTCGTGAATTCTTTGACGTATTCGGTGCCCTTCTTGCTGGGAAACTCCAACGGAAGTAGTTTGAAGACTCTTGACATGGTGACTGCGTGTGAAGGTGAAAAAGAATTACACGAGTGAATTGATCGCCAAATTCTGTTTACTCGTCGACTGATTAATAAACGTGGAGTGTATGTTATCACCTTCACGCTTCTTGGATAGTAACTTGCCCTTCGACATTCTTACCGGTTGATGCTGAAATCGCATAGGCTTGTGAGTGATAAAAGGCTCGAGGTACACTTAAAGGGCTACTCCACCGATTTTTTCATTGTCTCCGATTTGCTTGAAATTTTGCTAAACTAACCAACAAACATCGCGAAAATAGTATCCCAAATATTAGGTCAAAATATTGTTTTTTCGCGAAGTTATTGAATTTACAGTTTTGGTCCTCACCGTGTTTTTCAAGCTCGAAGCCTCTACTGGCAACAATGAAAAAGTGACGTCAGTGAAAGGCAGGGGTTCACTCTTTGGGCTGTAGATTTCGTTTTAAACTGATTCGAAGCAGTTTCATGGTGTCAAATGAATGCTTGGGAAGCTCGCTGCAGTACCCGCGCTCCAGCACGGAACAAATGATTGGCATATTCTATTTTTTGGCTGCTTGCTCGACTGGCAAGCCTGCCTGCCACTGACGTCACGGCCCTGAAAAGCGCGCGTATATTTGAATGTTGGTTTTTGCATCATTCTCATTTGCTGATTTCGCAATAACTATTATGAATTTCGCGATTCTAAATAGCATACCGGAGAGAGTAAAGGCCGGGGAGTCAGAAAATATAGTTAGTTGAGGTAGCTCAAAAAATCGGTGGAGTACCCCTTTAAAGACCGACCAACGAAATTATTTTCCGCAAGGTAGGAAAATGCCCGTCGTGCCCTCCTCTTTTCACCCTCTTCCAAAAATCACGTGACGGCAGGGGCTTCTTTTGTGTCGGCTTTTTCTGTAGGGATAATCCTCAAAAACCGCGAAATGAGCAGCTAGCTGCGAGCGCCACAACGACCTTGAGAAGTCCAGGTGTCTTCCCTCGTTGACGCGGGCACGCTCATTCCGCGAGATTGAGGAAGCCAGCGCGACCGAACGCTTTTTCCCATGAGCTGCAGGTCCGAGGCCGCTCGGTCGGTGAAGATAGAGGGTCTTGGTATGCTGGGTTCGTTCCAGCAGCCGCTCTCTGGCATCGCGCGGCTGCTGGAACCATTCCCGTCTCTGCACAAGGATTGGCGTGCGCAATAAAGGGTTCATGTCGTCGATAATACATTTATTTCCGAAACTTATCAATCAAGTGGCTTTTTTTAATCTCTTCATTACTGTTTGAAACACATCTCCTCTCATAGGTTGTTCACCCCATTTTGGACTCTTTTGCGTATTTATTCGTCCTTACCTCTGCTTGATGACTGTTTTATAACTTGATAAAGAGCTTTAAATCTTGACGCGGGCTTGCGCGATCAACGCTGTCCCGGATTTATTCAAAATTGGAAAGATTGGCGTCAGGAGGGGTTGAAGAAGCAAACCGTAATTCTTGCTTCTAATGAAGATGGCACAATTGTAAGATCGGTCTATGCTTCACTTGCCTCCACAGCGTACCATCGTTTGCACTATCGCAACTTCTCAGTAACATAGCTGTATACCACGTTTTACTTATGGTTACTATAGATGTGGCCCCACAGGCTTTCCCGTTATCTGCGCGTCGACTTTTTAACGACCGGCGACTCTTCTGAGTGAGAATAAATATTATCCCCTTCCCAGAACATCCACACCTTTCTCTCCCCCCCCCCCCCCCCTCACCTCCCTTTCCCGAGTTGGGGAAATATCAGGCCACTCCAGGAAGCAGCCTGCAGACTGCGCTTTTCGGCTACTCATTCTCAACATATTCGAACGTGGAAGCAAACCCATTGCATGAACGACGCCTAGTTTATTTGCAACCTAAATAATGTGACTCTACTGTTGGGGCCCAATCAATTTCATCATCAATCATTATTTCTACGACTTCATGGTGAAAGTATGTTCGTCGTGATGCCACAAAGCTGGTCGATTCAAAGGGAGAAATAGGTACTTGTATTTATTTTGCGGAAATTCTGGCTCCTGTGACGCTCCAGTGCGTAAGGTCAACGCACCGGAGGCAGTGCGTAATACTTTAAAACTGTCGTTGACGATGAAATATTTGTGGGAAGTGCGTAAAATTGTTTACACCACAAAAGCATACCTAAACACAACAAAATATCGCAATGGCAAAAAAAAAAAAAATAATAAGCTTGCGAAAACCGTTGCTTCCCCCCCCCCTCTCTCTCTCTCTCTCTCTTTTTTCGCTTCACTACAAAAATATAGCGGCCGAGAAACAAAATTCTATCAAAACCTCGCTTCTTGGAGGAAGGACACCAGGCTATATGGTAGTGAATCTGCCAGGAAGTTTGTAGAAATAATGGGCGACCATTGAATCTAGCCTTTTGCACGAATCATGCCCGGGATATTTTCATTTTCCTTCCACGCGATTAGAACGCAAGACGCTAGGGGAATTTATGTGCACTAACATGCTGCTTCTAAAAGAAAGTACCAGATTTCTAGTGCATGTCAATCTACATGTAAATAGTTTAATCAGTGTGCACAAACATTCGCGGCCTGGGGGATGACATGGAAGCATGGCGGAAAGCAGCTTGCTGGAAATAGAAGTCTCTTTTGCATTGCACTGGTGTGAAAAATTATTACGTATTTTTGTTTTATTTACGTGTGAAAATAAAAACAGCGTTTAGAAACCGAACACTGTGCGTTTTGAGGTGCGCCGAAAGGACATAAAAAACCGGGACAACCTGAACAATACGAGGCGTCTTGCGTCACTCAGCTTTTCCTGGTTTCTTGTTTTTCCGGAGCCTTTCAAAAGGAGATGAAAAATTATGAACCGATTGACCCGACTTGCCAAATTAGAGCAGTTCATTTTCATTAGGACAGGCTCTCTTAGAGCGTCTAGCATAGTTCAGCTTGTACTGGTCCGTTTTTATTTTCGGTTCCTTTCAAAAAGTGAGCTCTAAGCCACTCGACAAACCTACAACATTCAATATTTACGGAAGCGGAGAAGTGGTTGGGAGGGTCAAGCGGGCAAGGGTTGCACGCCTTTCGAACCACCGTCCGTAAGCTTTGCTTAGTGGCTGGGCTTTGCGAGCAGAATGCGAGCTTGCTCGAGTAACTTGGATCCGTTCAGAAGATAATCCCCTCTAAACGACAATCTCCGCCGCCTGGGAAGAACGATGGGCGAACGAGACGCCTCTGGGTTTTGCGTCACGCCTGCTTTTCAAGGGTCAGACTTAATGGTTCCCGACACCAGCACGATTGACGGCTCCGCCCGCGTCTTTGATTGTACATTGATACGGAGAAGAAGGAGAAGAGCGCGACGGCCCGCGGCCGTAGTGCGTTCTGGCTCGCGCTCTGGCGGCAATCAGATTAAAAACCTACCGCTGAAAACCACCCCATGTACATAGTCTAAAACATTATAAGCATCAACTGGGAATGAACATAGACGTATAATGATCCGATATAAAGTTTAGCTTGATTCCTAAACGAATAATGCCATAGGCAAGTACGCCTTCACATCGAATTGTTAGACAGAATTGAAAACAAGATTTTGTGTTTCTGGAAAAAATTTCGGCCCCCTTCTATCCGGTCCGCTTTTCTATAGGCCTCAAATAACGTGGGCAAATCATTCATTTTGTTGCACTTCCACTTCTCCACTTCCGCAGATTATGATTGTGGTAGTTTAGTCCAGTGGCTTAGAGCCCCACGTTTTGAAAGGAACCGAAAATAAAAACGGATCAGTACGAGCTGGACTATGCAAGACGCTTGAAGACAGCCTGTTGCAATGAAAATGAACTGACTGCTCTAATGTGGTAAATCGGGTCACTCGGCTCATAATTTTTCATCCCCTTTTGAAAGGCTCCGAACAAACAAGGAAGCAGGACAAGCTCTGGTTGTCCCAGTTTTTCATGTCCTTTCGGCGCTCCTCAAAACGCACATGGTTCGGTTTCTAAACGCTGTTTTTATTTTGGCACGGAAATAAGACAAAAATACGTAATAATTCTTCACTCCAGTGCAATGCAATAGAGACTTCTATTTTTAGCAAGCTGCTTTCCGCCATGCTTCCATGTCATCCTCCAGGCCGCGAATGTTAGTGCACAGTGATTAAACTATTTACATCTAAACTGACATGCACTATAAATGTGGTAATTTCTTTTAGAAGCAGCATGTTAGTGCACATGAATTCTCCCAGCGTCTTGCCTTCTAATCGCGTGGAAGGAAAATGAAAATATCCCGGGCATGATTTGTGCAGAAGGCTAGGTTCAATGGTCGCCTATTATTTCTACAAACTTCCTGGCAGATTCACTACCATATAGCCTGGTCTCCTTCCTCCAAGAAGCGAGGTTTTGATAGAATTTCGTTGCTCGGCCGCTATTTTTTGTAGTGGCGCGAAAAAAAGAGAGTTAGAGAGAGAGAGGAAAACAACGGTTTTCGCAAGCTGATTTTTTTTTTTTTTTTGCCATTGCGGTATTTTGCTGTCTTTAGGTATGCTTTTGTGGTGTAAACGATTTTACGCACTTCCTATAAATACAATCGTCAACGACAGTTTTAAAGTATTACGCACTGCCTCGGGTGCATTGACCTTACGCACTAGAGCGTCACAGGAGCGAGAATTTGCGCAAAATAAATACGAGGACCTATTTCTCCCTTTGAATCGACCACTTTTGTGGCATCACGACGAACATACTTTCACCATGAAATCGTAACAAATAATGATTGATGATGAAATTGATTGGGCCCCAACAGTAGAGCCAGATTATTTAAGTTGCAAATAAACTGGGCGTCGTTCATGCGATGTGTTTCCTTCCACGTTCGAATGTGTTGAGAATGAGTAGCCGAAAATCGGAGTCTGCAAGCTGCTTCCTGGAGTGGCCTGATATCTCCCCAACTCGGGAAAGCAAGAGGGGGGGAGAGAAAGGGGTGGATTTTGTGGGAAGGTGATAATATTTATTCTCACTCAGGAGAGTCGCCGGTCGTTAAAATGTCGACGTGCA